TATATATTCCGACTGATTGAAAAATATATTACTACACAATGTAAAGGTAAGCACAGGAGAAGAAAAGCGTTTGTTTCTTTTTGAACAACTGTAAACTTTATATCATGGTCTTTTTTATCTGCTTCCACAATGCGTAGTTGGAAGAGTCAATGTATTCCATGGGGTGGGTGTTTCTTGTCATGACGTGTGCAGAATATATTTTTATCTGCTTGAGAAGTGGTGTGGTACAGTGTCCCATTGCAACTCTATTCTTTCAGTTTATTTTTGGTTTGTTTCTTTGTTTTGTTTTTTTAATTTATATTTTCATTGGATGTCAGTGCTGTATCACACAGACACTGAGCATTCCGGCTGTTCTTTGAGCTTCTTTCACAAATCCCTCTGCCTTTTTGAGCATTGTGGAAGTGATCAGTCACCAGAAGACAAATTGCAAAAAATGCATATGTTGTAACATTGATGTAGGGCTCTACCACTTAGAATGGACTGGGGAAGTTATACAATTGCAATTAAACACACAAATACAATGCTTTGAAAACACCTATAAATACAGGACAAGGATCTCCTTATTGGAAGAAAGGTGGCCTATAAATAAAATAAATAAATAAAATAAGGAGGACAAGGAAGAAATGAGGTGGAGCCTTGGACTGGCCAACCAGTCCTGGATCTATTTAATCTGATTTAAAGTACGGTGTAGTCCCTTGTGATAAAACAACCAGGAGTAAAAGAGGACCAAGAAATCAACAAAAAAACCATGTGATGTGATTCATTATAAGAAAACACCAGGATCAATCTCTATTCAGGCAGTGTCATTTCTCTCTTTTTCTCCCCCCCCCCACACTCACTCTCACAGGATGGTGTGTGGTGTTAAATACGTGATTAAGAACCGTTAAGATCTGTTCCAAGTGGAAACGAGGAAATAAAAATGGCTAGAACTCAAGTAAGTCATGGTAAGCACCTGTAGTTTCCAATTTACCACTGTATATAATGATCACCCAAATCAGAATTCAAAGATGCCAAATAGCAGCACTAAATGTTAGTAATCAGGCCAGAGTCTGTAAAATTAGTTTTAAAAGACAGCCTATTATGTGACTTGATACAGCCCAAGTAATTAGTTATCATAAAGATTACTAGATAGTTTTAAAGGAACTCCTTATATTGCTTTTTAGTTCCTCATTGAGTTTAGAATCTTTGCTTTCCTATAGTTTCCTCATTCTTCTGGAAGTTGTAGCCCCCAGAACTAATTTATGAGGTGCTGTCTTGGTTATGTGCTTGTTCACACATCCTATTGTGCAACTGAGATCTACCCAAACATCTTGTCAATGAGTGACAGCAAGTTATGCAGATCTTATATAAACACCATTAGGATTCCAGCTATTACCATCCAAAGAGCCTCATCTCCATAAGACTCTGAAATCCAAGCTTCCTTGGTTGTGCTGCTGCAGTCCTGGTGTCCTCATAAAGTAGAATGAACTGACACAAATAGAAATAGAAAACGAAAACCTCTCAAATGGTCTTCAGCCCAACCCCAAGTATTCCCTATGATCTGTTAGAAAAATCTCTAACTGCAATGTGAGAACAATAATTAGATCACCAGCCGAAATCGACCAAATAGCATGCAACCTTTTTGAATCTATAGAAATCCTTCCCAAGCTGGCTGTTAATCAGAAAAAGGAGGGAGGAGATGTTATTGATTTAAAAAACACGATGCATGCTTACCACTACTCCCCATCCCATATTAATGGAGGAGACACTTTGTTGGGTAATATTATACATAACACAAAAAGAGTTCACAATTGCAAGCCATGCATAGCAGCATGAGAAGCAGGGGTAGCCCAGCCTTCGGGAATATAATTTAGTACAGTGGCACCTCGATTTATGGACTTAAGCCACATTGGAACAGCGTTCCTACGCCGAAAAGTTCATAAATCGAGGCAAGATTTCCCATAGGAATGCATTGAAAACTATTTAATCAATTCAGGCTGTTTTTCGTTCGTATGCCAAGGCACTGTTCGTAAGTAGAGGCATTAGTTCCCATAGGAACTAATGCAAAGCCGGTTAATCCGTACTTTACCACTAGAGGGAGATTTTTTAATTTTTTTTCTTCTTTTGACCTAAGATGAACTTAGTTTTAAAAAAAAGGCAGGAAAGTTTTTTTTCGTTTGTAAGTCGAGGCTCCATTCACAAGTCGAAGCAACATTTTGCGGAAAGAGCCGTTCATAACTTGAAACGTTCGCAAGTGGAGACATTCGTAAGTCGAGGTACCACTGTAGTTATTTGAAGTTTGTGTGAATCGGAACTTATTGGTCCCTTGCCAGGCAGGAAAAAAAGAAAATCATGCTAGTTTTCATATGAGCAAAGTGAGAGACTAGCTGCTGAGCCACTGGAAATCAAATCGGGTTTTGTTATCTAGTGCTCCAAAGCCTGGAAGATATGTGAGTGGAACACACCCTATCTACAACATGTTAACTGCTGATTTATACTTTATTGTAATCATTGGGGTTCTGTATTCCCTTTGACTCAAAATTAATTCAAAAGAAAATCACACTTGAACTTATCTTGCTATAAATGAGTTACTAATAACATCACTGCATATCATCATTCATCAAAATGTGAACTATACTGGGCTTAGAAGAAGAGTGGACATGTATTAAATTAATAGATATGTGCTTAGGGTTGTGATGTTAGACTCCTCACCAATTTTTTTGCTACAAGTTTGTCTGGTAGTTGTATTTGCATTTTAATGGGTTGCCACAATCCTGAGGGCTGCATATGTATAAAAGAAGGCTGCTTCATGAAGGAAGCTTTTTGTATAATAATTCATCACAGATTTCCTTCGCATTCCATCATGCTACTATGAAACCAATAGAAATGATGAAGTATCATAGCTGCTTCTTTCTGTGGAGAAGTTTCCACTGAAGTTGCTTTCATGCTACCTCCTCCTTTCCTCTGATTGTTAAATTTGGGACATCATTTCTTAACAGAGAATCTAGAAATCTTTGTCAATTTATTGAAATTCAGTATTTCTCTCGTCCTGCCATGATTATTCAAACACGAAGGTGGTGATTTTTTTACCTTT